AGTTCAGGGCCCACAATCAACAAATATAGCTTAAATTGACTTTAAAAGTATGAGCTGAGTGCTGGTGGCTCAGGCCTACATGTAATCCTAGCTACTCAGAAGGCTGAGATCTCAGGATTGCAGTTCAAGGACAGTCCAGGGCAGAAAAGTCCCCATGGGGCTCATCTCCAATTAACCACTCAAAAATCAGAAGTTGGCTCTGGGCCCAGAGTGGTAGAGTGCTAGCTAGCCTTGAGCACAAAAGGTTTCAGGGACAGCATCCAGGCCCTGAGTTCAAGTCCCACAACCGACATTAAAATAAAAGCATGATTATTTTGTGATTTCAAAAACAGAATTACCATGAAAAAATAAATGTTAACATTATTTTGCAAATGTCAAATTATGCATTTGACATTTTTATAACACTAAAATGTTATATTTTCTCACATTGTAAATGGTATTGGTAAATGCATGGAAGAGTTGCAGTTTGTACTTTTTGTCAGATAAAGAACAAACATATGAGGCTGGCTTTGAACCCATATTCTCAAATCTTAGCCTTCTGAGTAGCTAGGATTACAGACATGAGCCACACCAATGCCTGGCCACACATATTATTTTATGTGTGTGTGTGCCAGTCCTGGGGCTTAAACTCAGGTACTGGACACTGTCCCTGAGCTTCTTTCTGTTTCTGTGGAACTGAGGAATTGAACCCGAGGCTTCATGCATGCCAGGCAAGCACTCTACCACTGAGCCACCTTCCCAGCCCTCTTTTTTTCCTTTATGACTAGTTCTTTTCGAATGTTAAGAAGTCCTTAGTCCAAAGATCATGCAAATATTTGCCTCCACTAATGCCAAAAGCTGTTTCACTTTTCTATTAAGATATTTAATTCAGAGAAAGTGGCTCAGTAGTAGAGTGCTTGCCTTGCATGCAGGAGGCGGTTTGATTCCTCAGCACCACATAAGCAGAAAAGGCCAGAAGTGGCGTTATATCTCAAGTGGTAGAGTGCTAGCCTAGAGCTGAAGAGCTGAGGGACAGCGCCCAGGCCCAGAGTTCAGGCCCCACAACTGACCAAAGGAAAAAAAAAAACATATTGAATCCACTGTTTTTTATATATGCTTTGAAATGGGGGTGAGTTTCCAACCCCCTTAGCTTTATTAATACTCATTTTTCACAGCAGTATATGTTGGAAACTAAATTGTGTTCTTATTGGTCTGCAAGAATAACCACTGTCTGAGGCTGGGAAGGTGGCTTAGTGGTAGAGCGCTTGCCTTGCATGCATGAGGCCCTGGGTTTGATTCCTCAGCACCACATAAGCAAAAAGAAAAAAGCCAGAAGTGGCGCAGTGGCTCAAGTGGTAGAGCACTAGCCTTGAATGAAGCGAGCTGAGGGACAGAGCACAGGCCCAGAGTTCAGGCCCCACGTCCGGACCCTCCCCCCCCCAAAAAAAGAATAACCACTGTCCATATGTAATATATTTTTCCATATGTGAATATATTTATAATCCTGTTAACTCATCCTATTGATCTCCTTGTGTCAATGTTGATTACACCTTCACAATGTTATTTGTCTTTTTCCATGGTTTAAGTACTACTTGTTTTACATTTTCTGTAATTTTAGCATAGTATGAGCAAGTGTTTATCTACTTACTACTTATAGGCAGTTTTTAATTTTATTTTTTTGTCAGTTGTGGGGCTTGAACTCTGGGCCTGGGCACGGTCCCTCAGCTCTTCAGCTCAAGGCAAGCACTCTACCACTTGAGCCACAGCGCAACTTCTGGTTTTCTGGTGGTTAATTGGAGATAAGAGTCTCATGAACTTTCCTGCCCGGGCTGGCTTTGAACCTGTGATTCTCAGATCTCAGCCTCCTGAGTAACTGGAATTACAGTCGTGAGCTGCAACCACAAATCTCTCCTGTAGCATGAGAGTATGTTTCCTTTAACCAGCAACCACCAATTCATTTCGACATCAGCTGATTACACTCTTAATTCAACTCCAGTACTTTCATGGTTAAAGGCCTCCATCCCACAAGAGTACCCTGGATTCAGATGATAGCAAAAGTTTCCATTCCCCAAAACAATGCAGTTCTTCCTGCCAGATACAAATGGAGGGGTTCCCAGATCCTGCTTCAGATTCGGTAATTCACAAAAACAATGCAGATAGATATAGATGGATCCCTGATGCTAAGTAATGCAGAATTTGTGATTACATCTCTATTATAAAAATAACTAGCATAAAAGAATGGAAAATACTTAAGAAAAGTGGGATGCTTTTCCTTAGGAAAGGATCATAAAGACTTTAGTAAAATGTCTGAAATTGAAAAGTTTATTAACAGTATGAAATTTCTGCCACCATGAATTTATAAAGTTAAAGAATTTATGTTGAAAGCTGGGTGTTGATGTCTCACACTGCTGTCCCTACCTATGCAGGAGGTAGAGATTGGAAGGATGGCAGTTGGATGCCAGCTCAGGCATGAAACATGGTGAAACTCCTTCTCAATAATAGGTGGGAACATTGATTCCACATGGGAGGCTGAAATCAGGAAGATCACAGTTCTAGGCCAGCCTGGGCAGAAAAGTGTGTGAGACTCTATCCATCTAAATGGAAGAATCTGGGCTTGGTGGTATATGTCTGTCACTCTGGCTACAGTGGGAATTGAAAAATATGAGGATTGCCTGAGCAGGAAACAAGGCTATATATCAAAGCAGCTTAAAACAGAGCTAGAGCTCCTGGCTAGCAAGTACAAAGCCCTGAGTTCAAATCCCATAGTCACTTCAAACATTAATTTATAATCATAAGAAATATTATTTTTGGGGGGGAGGGGGGAGGCTGGGAAGGGATGTGAAGGGTAAACAAAAGGAGGAGGCTGCAATGCTTGGTAAGAAATGTACGCATTATCCTGCCCATGTAATTGTAACCCCTCTGTACAGTATCTTCACAAATAAAATAAAA